AAGCATCAAAACACAAAACTAAGGGAGGGATAGGTGTCCAGAGCGAGAAAAGGAGAGATTGATCATGGTGGTCCTCCTAAATCTTGTTATACATTGATGATTTTTTCCAAATATTGGAAAGAGACCTTTCCAGCAGAGCCTCATTTACCAAACCTCAACACTGAAACCGGCATCAAAGCTCTAACATTTCACAATATTTCAAGGTCATAATTTACCTCATGAAATGTTTGGAAATATATATTTGCAGAACCTCAACAGAAGCCGACAGACACTATTTCTGCAAAAAGTACTGAAAGGAATGCAGAAATGTATATGAGGGTTCTGTGTTGATTAACTCTGCATCACACTTCATGCAGAGTCACCTCAACTGGCATTGGGTCCCAGCTCACTGGCCCTAAAGCCCTAAAGATTATCCCAGTCTCGCGCTGATGTACAGCCCCAGCAGCACTTGTTATTGGCTGATTTCTTGATAACAGCCATTCTTGCTGGAGTGAGATAGAATCTCAGCATTGTTTTAATTTGCATCTGTCAAATGACCAGCTGGGGTAAACATTTTTTCATATATTTCCTTGCCATTTCTACTTCCTCATCTGAGAAGTGTCTTTTTATTTCAGATGTCTATTTTGGGATTGAGTCTTTACATTTGAAATGGTCTAATTTTTTTTCTTTATATATTCTAGACATTAGTCCTTTATTTGATGAATAGCTGATAAAAATTTTCTCACACTGTGGGTTGTCTCTTCACTCTGTTGGTGGTTTCTCTTGCTGTGCAAAAGCTTTTTAATGAGATGAGGTACACTTGTTGACTCTGTAATGTTTCCCGTATTGTCTGGGTTTTGTTCATGAACTCCTTGCCTACTCCTATGTCCTCAAGCATTCTACCTATTCTCTCTCCCAGCAGACTTAGTGTTTCTATTTTAGTGAAAGATATGGGTCTAGTTTCAATTTTTGGCACTTACAAAAAAGGCAATCTTTCTTGCAGGGAAGGTCTTTGGCTTCTTTGTCAAAGATAGGTGACTGAGTGAATCTGGAGTTGTTTCTGCAGTTTCTAGTCTGTCCCATTGATCCTCGGTCTATCTTTTTGCCAGTACTGTGCTGTTTTTATCACAGTAGCTCTGTAGTATAATTTCAGGTCAGGGATTGGGATGCCCCTTGTCTAGCCCTTGTTGCCCAGAATTGCTTTTGCTGTTCTAGGTCTCTTCTGGTCCCAAATGAATTTCAGGGTTGTTTTTTCTAATTCTGTGAGATATGCTGTTGGAATGTAGATTGGGATTGCATTAAATCTGTTGAACAATTTTGGACGTTTGGCCTTTGTCACTATACTGGTTCTTCCTATACAAGAATAAGGGTTATGTTTCCATTTTCTGATATCATCTTCAGTCTCCTTTTTCAGAGTACTGTAGTTTTCCATGTAAAGGTCTTTTACTTCTTTCCTTAGACTGATTCCTAGGTATTTAACTTTTGGATACCATTTTGAAAGGAGTTGTTTCTCTAATTCCTCTCTGAGTTTGTTATTTGTGTACAAGAAGGCTATTGATTTTTAAGTGTTAACTTTTATCCAGCTATGCCACTGAACTTGAATTGAGAAGTCTGCTGTGATTCTGATAGGCTTGCCTTTATAGGTGATTTTTTATTTCTCTAACAGTTTTTAATATTCTCTCCTGTTGAATTTCTATGCTCTTGACTATTATATGCCTTGGGGAAGATTTTTTTTTCTTGGTCATGGCTAATTGGAGTCCTATATGCCTTACTTATATGTAAGTCAAATTCTTTTTCTCTGTTTTGAAATTTTTCTACCATTGTTTCTGAGAATAATTTTTTAATGTCATCTGCACTCTCTCCTGCTTTTTCATGGACTCTCATCAATTTTTTTTTCTTTGCATCATTTAGCAGCTGCTGGATTGATTTCTTGTGGTTCCTTGCTATTTTTAAGAAATCTCTCTTTTTCATGATCAAAAACCACAATCCTGTCTCCTATAGCTGATATTCTGTTCTCCTATTGGCTCATTCTGCTGTGTATACTTTCAGTGGAGTTTCCCCCTCACCCTCATAGAGTTTATAACCTCCTGGATATCTGTTTGAATCTGTTTCATGGTTTGTGTTTCTTTTGTATGTTGGACATTCATGGTTTCCATTTAATTCCTATGATGGCCTTTCATGGTTTCCATCATGCTTCTGAGCACCTTTATATACAGTATCTGCTCGAGAGTCTCTGAGCATGTCTTTCATTCTGGCCACCATCTCGGTAGTGTTTTTTGTTTGTTTGTTTTGATACCAGAGACTGAACTCAGGTCCTTGTGCTTGTGAGGCAGGTGGCAGCACCACTGAGCTGAATCCCTCACCCCCACCATCTCTGTAGTTATCTGGGAAATTATTTCTGCTTTGATTTTCTTCTAGAGTCTTGGTCATCTGCTTTGTTACTTCTGCTGTTACCACTTCAGAGACTCCAGGTGAGTGGCTTTTGGATTATTCCACCTCATAGTCCTTGGGGTTTGCCTTTGGTGAGATGAAAGATTTTTTGGGGGAATTCCATCTTGTTTAAGTGTCTTCTCATTTTCTATTTTATTTTAAGTTTGATTACTGGGTTGATACTTGTAAATTACTTATAGCGAGTAGCTTTATTTCCAGTTTTCAGAACTCTTAGGAAATGGCTACTCCTAAGAAGCACCTTCCAGGTATAGCTCACTTTTTGTTTTTGAGTACGTTGCATGCTACCTTTTTGTTTGTTTGTTTGTTTTGTTTTAGTACAGGGGATCGAACTTGGGTCCTTGCGCTTACAAGTCAGGCTCTGGAAACAATGAGCTAAATCCCCAGCCCAAGATCCTACCTCTTTAATTTATTGGGGATCAGATGTTTCTCCTTAGCCCAGCTGCCAGTTCTTTGTCACTGGCATAAGGATTTTTGTTTTTTTTTAAGACCCTTAGGCAATCTCATTCTTGATATACCAGGAGAAACAAGTAATTAGCACAATTATGTCACTTTGGTTAAAGCAGTACAATCTATAATAACAATAGCATCAAATACAGCCTAGAAAAATGACAAACCACGGTAACTATTAATTTGCTACCTTGAACCATATGAACTAGATTTGGTTATATAACAAAATTTGGAACAAGGAATCTGAAAATTGTATACAATAAATAAACCCTCAATATGGCAAATTTACCCTCAGGGGAGAAGATTTTAAAAAGGTTAAGGGGTAAAAACTAGAAATAGAGGAAGAGGAAGTGATCAGAAGCAAGGCTGGAAAATAAACTTTAGGAAGATTGCAGAGAAGACAGATGTGAAAAAGAAAAGGAAAAAAAACCAAGAACAAAAAACAGAACAACAACAACAAACAAACTATAAACCTTGTTCAAACAGTCAAGAAAAAGCAAAACAAGAACCAGAAAGGAGGACAAAAAGAAAAAAAACAAAACGAATTGAAGGTGTGTCTCTTTGTCACTGGTAGGCAATATGGCCATAAAGAATCCAGAGCCAAATTGATTAATCCCAGCAGTCTAGCTACAGCTTTTCAGTGGGGTTGTGGATACTTCCAGCCAGTCTGCCCCTTTTCTTCCTCTGAATTTCAGGCGAGTTTCTGGCTATGCGGCTGAAACCAGATCCCTTGAGCCTACAACAGTCTATGTGTCTCCTGCCAGTTTGAACTCTGTTTCCTGACTTTCACTCTTGCTCTTGAACTCAGCACGTGCACCAAGGTACCAGGAGCCACTAGATGCGGTCAGCCCACAGCTGCTCTGAGTTCTGAGCTCAATAGGCTCCTCTCCAAGAAGGCTACCAGCCAGTTGCTCTCTCCTGGGTGAGGTCTGGACCCAGACAACTCACCAGCCACAGCAGTCAGCTGAGTCCACCTGTGCATCTCTCTGTGGAGGCCTCTGACGTCGTCACTAGTTGCTATTCGTCCACAAGTTCGGCCCGCCATTCTCTGGCCAAAGGTCTGGGCTCTGGGAGAGAGTGCTGCTTGCTGATTCCTTCCTCTTCATTGAAGTCGCTCTCTTCACTCTCCCTGTGGACTTCCATTCAAACCTCAGATTTTTCCAGGGTCCTGGTGACTCAGTTTCTTCCTTCTCCTCTTTGGGCCGCTGTATTCCAGTGTCAGGACACCAAGTCTTGGAGATTGCTCTGCTGCTTGCTACTAAACCATCTTCCCCCAATTTCTCTCTTTTTTTTTTTTTTTTTTTTTTCACAGCTTAAGCCTTTGATATTTCTAGAAACTTATGCCATATCCAGGGGCACCTAAATTTCTCTCATTATTGTCCAGGAGTTTTTAAATGTAAAGTTTAATAGTAACAAATTAAGGCTTATATGGCTATTCTCTGTATTTTCTGCTCAGTTTTGCTATGAAAATGAGTGCTCTAAAAAGTAAAGCCTTTTTTGAAAATGTCTTTATTTTGCCTTTCCTTGCATTATTTTTCACATAGCATTTACAATACTAAGGTACAACATATATGATATATGTATATATATCATATATGTATAAATAAGTATATAATGTATGTATATATTATGGATTTGTTTTGTTTTTTGTCCAACCATCCTGCTCTTTGAAAGGACAGGGCTTTCTTTGCCTCTCTTTCATAGCAACAGTCCCAGAGTCTAGCCTAAAAGTATTTTTTCACAAAGCATGGAGTCATTAAGTGTTTATCAAATGTAAATGTTTTAAATGTAAAGTTTGCATTTTACAATTAAGTCTATGATCCAGTTTTTTTTGGTACCCAGGATCGAACTCAGGTCCTTGTGAGGCAGGCGGCAGAACCACTGAGCTAAATCCCTGGCCTTTATGATCCATTTTGAGTTAATGTTTATGAAAGTTGTGTGAAGTTAGTGTCTGTAGACTTTAGGGGCTGTGGCCCAAGGATGTCCAGTTGCTCTACCATCACTTATTTAAAAAACCTTTTCTCTATCGTATTGCCTCTGCTCTAGTGACTGTATTTGTGTGGGTCTATTTGGGGGCTTTGTTGTATTTATCTATCTCTTGCCATTGCCACACTTTTTTCTACAAATGTCTGCGTTAGGAAGCAAAGCTACCCATCTGTGGCTTTCTGGCAATGATGCTCAAAGGCTGATCTTGGCCCCCAGGCCTGACTAAGGCCCCTACTCCTTGCGAAAAGAGGCTTCCAACTCTCCTACCTTCATAGGAAGCTAAAGTAAGGTCAGATTAGCCCCCTAGCTTTGTTCTCCTTCAGTATTACATTCACTATTCTGGATCTTTTGTTTGTCCATATAAACTTTTTAAATAGGTTTCTCAGTATTAATAAAATACCTCACTAGGATTATTAGATTTGTTTTGAATTTATAGAGCAACTTGAGTAGAGCTGACTGGTGACAATATTGAGTTTTCCTACCTATGAACATGAAATGTTTCTCAATTTATTTAGCTTTTCTTTGATTTCTTTAATCAGAGTTTCCCTTGTCTAGGTCTGTACAAATTTCATTTTTATTTCTGCATATATCATTTTGGGGGCACCAATGTAAGTGGTATTGCTTTTAATATCAAGTCCACTGTTCATTGCTGATATATAGGAAAGTGGTTGACTTTTGCACATTAACTTTATATCTTCCAATCTTGCCATAATTATTACCTCCAGGAGTTTTTGTTGTTGATGATGATTTTTTCTGATTTTCTTTATAGACAGTCATGTCATTGATAAGCTGTTAGTAAACAGCGATAACCCAGTAAAGAACACAGGCGAGCCTGAGTTTGGGGGTTCCAGGTGGGACCTTCTGGAGTAACTTCAAAGGAAGGAGACTCTAAGTGCAGCTTATTGAGCTGGCTCTTTTATGAATAGGATAGGGGTTATTGGGACAGGCTTAGGTGGGGTAACACAAAGTGAGGGGCTTGAGTTTGTGGGAGAGAGAATGGCTGAGCAGTGGCAACAGATGCCACAGCAACAGCAGCAGATGTTATGACTTAGCAGGTGGGGCAGTTGTGTGGCCTCTTAGCCGAGTGGTCATTATTCCTGGGCTTGGGTAGGGGATGTATGTAGGAGTGGGCTGGGATTGTTTCAGAGCTCAGCTGTAGGGGCTCATTCACACCCTGTCCTTTTCAATGGGACAGGGATGAAATTGGTTTTTTCCCCTCCCCCATGTGGAAGGATAAAGGGAGCGGAAGTTGAGTACAGTAAAATCTTGGATTGTGAGCAACTTGTTCTGCAAGTGTTCCATAAGACAAATGAACATTTCTAATTAAATTTTAACTTGATAGGATAAAGGGAGCGGAAGTTGAGTACAGTAAAATCTTGGATTGTGAGCAACTTGTTCTGCAAGTGTTCCATAAGACAAATGAACATTTCTAATTAAATTAAAACTTGATAAATGGGAAGAAAGGAGCTAAAGGTGTAGGGAAGGTGGGACGGGTAGGGGAAGGGTAATAAGGGAAAAGAAAAAATGTGAAATAATGAAAAGACGGAAATAAAGTGTTTGTAGATGGGGAGGGGAGGAGGGGGTGAAGAGAGGGCCGGGACAAGGAGAAAAAATGAGAATCAAGACCTGTCATGTAGAGGTACAAGATCCCAACAATGAATGTAACTGTACTGTATCCCTAAAATGTACCAATAAACGCTGAAAAAAATAAATTTTAACTTGATAAGTGAATGATATCTTGCAGTAAGAGTACATTAAATGTCATATGATCATAACTGAGCCAGTGTACAATTACATGCAATGCCTCATTTCCAAAAAAAGTCCTCACAAGGAAGCAAAAGCAAGGGTCATTGGATAGGTTCCTTGCCAAAGTTGCATGGAAGGAAAAAGACCGCACTCAGCCGATACAGAGCAGTGATTCTGTTAGTGATAGTAACAGTCATCCTACACAATAACCTTCCTCTCTTGTCTCCCTCATACCAGAGGTAAATGCAGGTTATTTTTCTTTATATTTTATATTTTCTTTATTTAGTATTATATTACAGTATTGTAATCATTTTTATATGAATACTTTTGGGCTGTGCAACAAATCATTTGAGTCTCCACTATTCTTTATTGCCTTGATATACAACTGCTTTGGATCACACACACACTTCTGGAATGAATTATGCTCACAAACCAAGGTCTTATAGTATTTTCCTTCCCCTAGTTGGTTGGACTCTCATAAAACATCAGTAGGTTAGGCTCTGGTAAAATGGTTTCTCTTGAGGGCAGATGTTGTTAAAAAGACCAGAATGCTTTGGTGTATGTATTTCAAAATGATTACCTTCCCTCTCCCCCTGCCGGAAAAACAAGGGGATTTTTCTCCAGTATTCACTGTGAGAACCTGGCAGAGGGGCTGGTAGTAAAACAAAAGTGTCCAATACCTCTTCTCCAACAAGACCAAGACTTTCCAGGAGTTTTTAACTCTTGGACTTGTCCACACTAAACATCTATCAATTTGGCAATTACAATTCATTCCTGCCCTGGGGCTGATTTCCCTATGGAGGTTTCTGCTTTTGTTAATTATGATTCTCTGTATTTGCCTATCTTTCTATTTGGGGGGTGGGCAGAACTTTGTCGTGGAGTCTCACTTCTCTGCTAGGTTTAAGAAAATTATTGATTTTTCAGTTTGTTATTTTTTAAAAAAGTTATTAGGACATCGCTTCTCAGCCTTTTGGCTAAGATCAAGTGTAAAAAGTTATTAGGAATAATATGTCCAAGGTCCTTACATGCCAGGCCATAAACCAGAAGCTAAGAGGCTTACATTTTTAAATAGGGAATCCTAGGAAATCTTCATCAAAAGATACTTGAGAATAGACTTCAAGAAGATGACAAGGAAAAGCCATAGGGTTAATACAGAGGAAAAATGAACATCATGAAGAGGGAACAAGGTTCAAAATTCTGTGGCAGAGGGCTCCTGGTACACTCGAGGAAGCAAGATCAGTTCAGATAAAACAAGAGAGTTCTGAGAAGGGGAAGAAACATGATGTTAAAGTACAAAAGATCCAGCCTCATAGTACTTTCTGGATATTATAAGAATGGCAGCTTCTTTTCCAAGAGAGATGGAAAATCACTGGAGAGTTTTCAGTTGGAATGACATGATAGGATTTATATTCTTGCCACATGACTCTGGAGATTTAGTGAAGAGTAGATTATAAAGGTCTCCTGTACAATAATCCAGGAGAAATAATGGTGACATAGACAAATAAGAACTAAGGCAAGGAAACATGGTCAGATTCCAGATGTCCTGTATTAGAAGGTAGAGTTAAGAGGATCTGTTGATGGATCAGTCTGAGGTATAAGATATACAGAATCAAGAATGGTCCCTACAAGGGGAAAAAATGAGAACCAAGACCTGTCATGTAAAGGTACAAGATCCCAATAATGAATGTAACTGTACTGTCTACCTAAAATGTACCAATAAACTCAATAGAAAAAAAAAAAGAATGGTCCCTAAGTCTTTGGGTATGTGTCACTATGAATAAGATGGGAAAGACTATCAGAGGAGGCAGGTTTTCTATTTGTTGAACGTAGGAGAGATATGCAAAAGAGGATATAAAGATCTCAGTTTTAGATACATTATTTCAAAATCCTGCATTATTTAAAAATCTACTGAATGGACATGTGAATAGGTAGTTCGATACAGGGGGCTACCATACAGAGGATAAGACCAAGCTACATGTGTAAATTTGGGAGTCAGGATGTGTTTAAAGCCACGAGACTGGGTAGGATCATGCAAAGAATGGGTATACTGAGCCACAAGCCCAGAGGCTCCCCAGTAATAACAGGTCAATGAGATAAGAAACCCCCAGGAGAACTGGAGGTGAGCAGCCAGCAAGGTAGAAGTTGTCTCAGGAGAGTGGAGGTGTCCTGGAATCCAAAAGAAGGATATAGTTCCAGGAGTATTTTGAGTTAAACACCATGTGATTAATAAAATAAAATGGGATTTAGTGGAGAGTTTGTAGGGATTCACATAAAAACAGCTTTTAGCAGAGAAATGTGCTCAAAAGCAGGACTGGTATGGTTTCAAAAAAGAAGGGAGGAGAAAAATTGCAGATAGCAGATAAAGACAATTTTTTCAGAGCTTTGCATGAAGAGGAGCACCATGACACCATAGCTTGAAAGGAATAGAACCCAGTGCAAAAGTTCGGAAATTGTGCCCCCATCTTTTTTTTTTTTTTTTTTTAAGAGAATCAAAGTCAAGATAACAGAAAACTATGTTCCTGGGCAGAGATGCAGGTCAATGACTAGGTACTGTGTTAGAAGCATATGGAGATTCTCTTCTAGTTATTTAAAACTGGAACACGTTCCTATACATTACATGCCCTCCTATAACCAATTTCTTTTTTTCTTTTTTTTTTTTTTTTTTTTTTTTTTTTTTTTGTATGGGGGCTAGAACTCAGGTCCTTGCACTTGTGAGGCAGGTGGTGGAACCACTGAGCTAAATCCCCAGCCCGCCTATAACCAATTTCAAAAGGCTACTTTGAATGCAAATATATGGAAGTGAAATAACGCTACTATAAATATATGATTTATACCTATACAGTGAGCTCTCCCCTAAGCCTTTATCCTGGCTGCTTCCTGTTTATCTTGTTTTTAACTTGAATGTACCTCTTCCCAGATGCCTTTTCTGACCTATTTTATTATTTCTCTCACCCAATACAGTGCGTTCTTTATCACTTTCATAAAATCATACTTCATTTGAATTGCAAATGTAGTTTGTTTGGCTGCTTCTTTCCTGTTATGTACATTAGACTGTAAGTTCTACAAAGCTTCCTTGAGTGCACATTGTGTCTGACATAATATAGATGATTAATACATATTTCTGAATGATTGCATGTATAAATAAAGGAAAAATAATGGATCTTGACTATGCAGGGTTAAATTCCTAAAATGCAACTGATGGAGCAAAGGTTAAGCTACATGTGAAATTGTTACTTAATTTCCACCCAGGCCCCCCACAGAGAGATTGCACAATATCACTTACTTACTCAAGGGTTTACATCTCTGCAGCTGGCCAAAGAGTACAGGCTGTTTATACCCTGTACCTTGGACCCTAGCACACATGGTCATACATGAATATAATGTGGTGAAGGAAGCTCTGATCAATCAATCAGGGTGCTAAATTCCATGGAAGGGGACATTTACCCATTACTGCTGAAACCCAGAAAGGATATGGTATGTTTCAAATCAAAATACAGCTCCATTTTT